TACATGAAAAGTCCACAGTATTTGACTGACCACTTACCCAAAATGAGCCAAGTTGTGGAATAACGGAAGTATATGGTGATATCGAGAGTTAGGTAGAAAGGCGGTGGCTGTGAGGTGGGCTTCTTCAGCACTGCATAACGCCAGAAGCAGAATCCAGTTGCTGCAAGAGGCATGAAGAAACAGTTGCTGCGTTATTACTTTAACAAAATAAAGTCGGTGAATTTTAAACAAATCTAGCGGATAAGCAAACAATTGGTCGAGCAAATCAGCCGATAAAACCAAGTAGATGAAAATGAGGCAATTGATTCCTCTTTTTGACCAGGATGAAATAATTGCATTACCCTTCCCACCCACACGACCCCCTCTAACTCTTTGACATGAAGAAACGGCGCATTCAATTAATCTAGAGTAAGGTGGGTGGGCACAAAGAAAGCCTATACATTTGGTGCAAATAATTGAATATGTACTTCTTGAAAACCGGAGAAAGACCATTTTTACACGAATCCAACTGTGCCAAATCGCCCAGACGACCAACTCCCTCAAAAGATCGAACACTCCCTCCTTCAGGTCCTCATTACTGTGCTATTTTCCCCCCTAACATAAAATTGCATGTAATTATGCAGAAAAATAAAATTTCACCGCGTGGTTTAAGATGAATCTAGTCCAGAGAGATATGCTTTCTTTTTTTTCAAATAAATCCAAGGTTAAATTGGTAGTATGCTAGCCTAATTGTGTCTAAGAGACGGTGAAATTAGATAACTATGAGGTCAAAGAGATAATTGAGGTTAAGAACTTTAGTAAGTGACTACGGCAAAAATCCATACTGGTCTGTGATCACCACAACCACTTTTCTTCATTCTGTTGCTTTCTTTGCTTCACGCAAAATTACACTTAACTGTAAACAAGTGCAAATTAGCATACAAGGGCGGTAAGATATATATAAGAGGAGGAGGAGCAGATATATACATATATATAATATTGTCATTCACAAAGAGGGTCCCTGGGTTTTAATGGCACTAAAATTTACCCAAATTGAGCGATTTTTCGCGTTAAGCAATTATAGCAAGCTATCGTAAAAAAAAACAAAACTAACCCAGTGCGAAGAGTGCCATGAAGACAATGAGAGTGAAGTAGACCATGACACAAGTACACAACCGCAAGAGAACAATCCACAGGAAGGAGGCGAAGGCAGCCAAGATGAGGCAGCTATCAAAACATACAAATAAATAAATAGAAATTGCGAAACACTTGAGTTCCAACCTCCCCCCCCCCCACCCTCCTCGAGCACTGTGTTAAGCTAGAACTTGTGGGTAAGATCATTTTTTGCCTTCTCAAACACACATGTTCCCCTCAAAGGAAATAAATTGAAGTGGCAAAAAAAACCAAACCTCCTTGAGAAATAAAAAAAAATGGATGTTGTGGATAGGTTTTGACGCGCAATCCACGTGAGAAACTGTGATATATTTGAAAAGTAAACAACCAAGTTTGATAAATGGTGTATCCCTATCGTGTTTTGGACTTCCTGCTGACTGATTTCGGTTGATTCCTACAATTTCGAACTGGGGTGTGCGATAGACTTACCTCCATGTGGTGCATCCTGGGCAACGTATACTCATACGGCAAAAAAGTCATTTAATCGGCAGTTAACTTCTGACTACAAACTACCATCACCCCACTGTATGTCATATTCCACCACTTTCCCAGTACTCACCTCACCTTTTTTCTAACTTTGTGTCTGTCTGTCTCTTTTACATCTCTGAAACACTTTTCCGCCCCCCCCCCCCCCCCCACTTTCGACCTTTTTCACTTTGATGTTCCTCCCCCTCTGTGAAGCCTGAAGTCAATTAAAGGGCTAATGATATCTATCAAGATGCCTGCCATTTGGTATAAATAAATAAATACAATTTCGAATTACTGTACTCTAATCTGCTTCACCATGAGCAATAATAATAATAATAATAATAATAATAATAATAATAATAGGATTTAACATATTGCTAGATCTCGTAAAAGTTCAGGAGCTTTCTTAGAATTGGGACGAGTGAGTACCTCATCTTTAAGGACGTGTTATTCAATTGTAGACATGTAAATTCCTGTCCTTTCTAAATATAAGAAATTGCAAGGCAATATATTTCACTGCTATTTTACTGCCTTTTAGTCTAGCGCCTGCTATTAAGCCCTGAAAAAAAACAACGTCCAGACTAGACGCGTCACTTTGCCGTCTAAACAAAAATATAGCATGACGACGAAATTTGCATTACAGCGGAAGCTGCAGGATTTACTACAAGTTGTTTTTAAAGTGGCCCAAAAAAATTTCTACAGGCAGTCAATTGAAAAACTCAAACGAACTCATAAAACAGAGGAATAGTGTAGTAGGAAAAGAAACAGAAACAATCAGCAACACAGATTACAGTACCAACTCCTGGAATTACTTGAATACTAGCCCGCTGGGAGCAAAGAAAGACCCTCAAACTTTTCATCCAACAATGGACATTTGCCTTGGCCAAATCGGGCGTGAATTGTAAGCAAAACAGGCACAACAACAACACAGGGGGGAGGGGAGGGTACATTCGTTTAGGCCAAGCAGACAGACGCGCTGACTCATTTGGCCGAGCATGTGACTTGACACAAAGCAACTTCTAAGACAAGCTACAGCGAACAGACATGGTCATTGCATGTGAAGGCAAACGCACACTTATGAATTTATAGAATAAAAACAAATATGTAGCGCAACTAGTGACAAGTAAATGCCTAGGTTGTTGCACAGCGACCCATTTACTGCAAATACCTCTTTTAAAAACAAGGCCAAAATGAAATCCACATTTAACCTTATGACAGTGGGGACTTGAAATTCACCTATCATTATTTTATAACAAAAGGCAGGTGTTTTGATAGATATCATAAGCCCTTTAGTTGACTTCGGGCTCCACAGAGGGGAAGAGGAACATCAAAATGAAAAGAATTCGGGAGGGAGAACAGAAGAGTGAAATTCACCAATCATAAACCACTCCAAAGGTAGTTAAAATGAAATTTTTTGGTTGAATGAATAGTCCATTCAATGTACAGAGGTGGAGTCTAAACGCCTAGAAGAGCGTGGAACAAATAAAAGAATTGCGAAAAAGAGGGAAGACAACTTACACAATGATAACCTTCCAAGTTCTAATCAAATCCTCAAGCAACTCGGTCACCAGCGTTCGAGCCCCGAACACAAGCGAGGAAAGGCTAAATGGATGGAATAAAAGAAGGCATTATTGAGTGCTAATGTATATAGACAAGTAAATTAATCTAATTAAACAAATCAAGAAACAAACACGGTTGGGGATCATTAGGCGCACACACATACAAGTGAACAGATCACAAATAGCCAAGTTAAGGTTAAAAAAACACTATGGCTTACCCATCAGGATTTCTTGATATGAAAATGTTAAAGATGTCAGAAGAGTTGAAACAAAGCCAATACAATCTTGCCTGATTCTTAAACCCTTTTGGATTAATTGAAAATGCAAAGAAAAGTAATCATAATGAGGATTATTAAGGGGGTGTTTTAAAATGAAGAGAAACATTTGCTGTTATGGGAGATTTCAATACTGGACGGTGCACCACTTATCTTTTAAACACCCATGCGTTTCAGCAGCTGTGTGATGAGGGACATTAGATACAACAATGATTTAATTTAATGGCAATGACAATATGCCAACCTCTAGACCCCCTCTCCCCCCCCCCACCCACCCACCCCCCTTCTCACTCAACGAACATATTCGTGAGAAAATGGAAGCAGAACAAGTACCTCGTTGTTAAACAGAACTCCAAATCTTAGAAGTTGATGCTAAAGGAAGGTGTAGTCAATACCATGTCACCGAATTTCCATGTAAAGAAAATGGAAATGGCCAAATGAATAATAGGTACGGTTATTAAAGGATTAATTACTGGTAAAGAAGTTTGAGGGTAATTTCAAAGAAATAATTACCTTGGCGGAGGTTTCTCGGTTTCCGGACTGCGAAAAGCACGTTCACTGCGATCTTTCAGTACCGGGAAGAGATTTTTGGGAAAACAACGACCGAGTACTACAAGGGTATGAAAGACGATGGATGGTAAGTCTACCTTGATCACTGCATAATTGTATAAGCCAATGCCTCAATAAATGTTTCAGGTTTTGTTAAAAATATACTAATATTAACACCGAGCGGTGCATGACAGACTTACCTCCACTCATACGTTAGAAAAGATCTATAAATCGGCGGTTGGCTTCTGACTTCAAACTACAGTGACACCAATGTATATTCACAGTACTCACCTCACCTTACCTTTTTTCTCTACATTTGTGCTCGTCTCTCTTGTACATCTGTTTCCCCCCTCCCCTCCCGACTTTTTGTGACCTTGATGTTCCTCCCCCTTCTGTGAAGTCCGAAATCAACTAAAGGGCTAATGATAGCTTTCGCATGCCTGATATTTTATATTAATAAAGAAGTAATTAACATTGAAGGCGATTGACATAATTTTTAGACTAAGGCTCCAGTGGAAACGGCACAACTTGTGTTTATCTTGTTTTTTTTTTGAAATGTGTGTTTCTGAAATAAGGTCCATATCAGCTTGACTAGGACCTATGGTGAGCATTGAAAAAAAACTTCGATATTAAAATTGAAGACCTGGTAAAACAGACTTTAAATCGCATTACACTCATTGTCACCTTTCAGTTAGTCTGTGTAGATTTGAAAAGAGGAAAATACAAGAAAAATGTAATTAATACTTTTTCTTTCAATTATTTTCTTACCTCAAATCTAGCCTTAGCATAAAGGAATAAGAAAGGATTAAAATAAACATTACCTGGACATAAATTGGAAAAGATTAACACAGAAAGCGTATTATTTATTATCTCATAAAAGTGATACTTCAATTTAGTGGCGAGAGGAAGGTGAGTTGGGCTGGAAATTTAATGCCAAATCTATGTCATAATCATGGGAGGTGACTGTCATTATTCATTAAGTGCCGCCTTGCCTGACCTTTCATAGACTGGCACATTAACTACTTAAGTCGATAGATTAGTTCAACCTTCTCTTGTTAACCCATTATCGCGATAAAATCAATAAATAATGTAATCAAAATCAATCGATTAAAGCCCCGGTAACTACATTAGTCCTGCCTGTTGAAATCTCCCTCCCTCCCTCCCTCTCTCTGAATTAGATCTTATAACAACGGGATGAACCACACACACACTGAAACATTCTGCCAACACGCTATAACAGGTGGCACCTTAACTAATCTGCTAACAGTAATGGTGAAACAGAGATCCCAAAACCAACCTCTTAGTGCATAAAAATTACTAGCAGAGATTACCCTCTGTGTGAAGCGTAGATTGTGTAGCATATAACCACAATCGCTATTAATTCTATTTAACTTGAAATAATCAACAGCATACGCCGATGACTTTACCATTTAAGGTCTTAAAGATAGGGCTGTAAGATTCAAAGAGTTCGAGGCAAGAGTTCCTTTCAATTTGAATATTCAAGCTCACTTGCTCCACATGGAACCACAAATGGTTGCAGGAAACATGGGTAGCTCCATAATCCGAATTTGGCTCAAATGATGCGTTGACACAAAAATGATCAAAAAATTCTTACGAATTGTCCTTTGCACTCGTTGCCCAATTATTTACCAACGTTTTAAATTAAAGACACTAGTCGTAATACTGTTTATAAAAGGAAGGAATCAAACAGCGACCCACCATATAGATAATATGAAAAGCAAAATCCTCACAACTAAAAAGAGGCCACAATACAAATTAACAGAAGCGTTTAACTCAAGGCATTTCACATTAACCAGGCTACGTAGTTGAGGTCATGAGATAAGCACCTTGGTGTCTTTGTGTGTGCCTGAAAAGCGAATCAATTGGAGCGAAACGCCGAGAGATTTCAGAACTGAATAAAAACAGGAGTGAAGCAAACCCAGCTATTGGCAGGCATGGCCTTCATCATCACTTCTTCACCTGCACTCGTTTCCAAAACACATATTTCTTCTTTGAATATGCCAGTCATGTAAGTACAATTAATGTTGAATAAACTAACTTGGATAAGAAAATAAAACCAATCGAAGTGATACAACTTAAATTCTACATAGTGACGAGGCGTATCTTCAAAAATAAAACATTTAGAATTATGATCGGGGATAAGGAGTGTGTGATAGACTTACTTCCACGTGGTGCATCCTGGGCAACGTATACTCATACGGCAAAAAAGTCTATTAATCGGCAGTTGACTTCCGACTTCAAAACACCATCACCTCACTATATGTCATATTCGACTACCTTCACAGTACTCACCTCACCTTTTTCATTCAACTTTTGTGTGTCTCTTTTACATCTTTGAAATACTCTTCTGTTCCCCCCTCCCCCTCTCGACTTTTTTCCCTGTGATGTTTCTTCTTCTTGAACTGTGATGTTTCTTCTTCTCTGTGAAGCCTGAAGTCAACTAAAGGGCTTATGATAACCATCAAACCGCCTGCCATTTGATATAAATAAATACTCTTAGAAATCAAAATGCCTGCCATTTGAAATAAACAAATATGATCGGGGATAACGCTGAGTTTACCTTGCCGACATTAACCAAATATGCGTTTATAGCCTAGCAACAAACTGACCCCACTACGTCTAAACGCATCCACTAACCTAGTAACTCCGAGTTAGTAGCAAATTTCCGAATTCCAGTCACCCTCTTCGTACCAGCATTTTGACACGTGACAAAAGTTTGACCAACAGTCCGCAGCAGGAACGCACCAATAACCCTATCGTCAAGGCCACTGCGAGTGTACATGAAGTGTAAATATACAAACACTCAGGAAATGGATTGTGTGCAATTACGAGGTTCATTCTCAGCGTAATTAAAGTTGTTACTGACTAGCAGGCATTCATCGAATATGAATTGAGCGGAGCATACTATTAGATCCAATTAAAATGAAGGCACCTTTGTGAGAATTAGCCTGTATTCTCCACTACTTCCAGACGTTACTTTGCATTTTCACAGACGATAATACTCAAGTTCTTTGTAAATAAAGCGCGAGTTTGCCAAACTCCTCCTCATATCTGGTCACCTCCATCATCAACAATCATATCCCACATCTCCTATTTCTTTCCTATCTTCACATCAGTGGGCCAAATATGTAATTAGAAATGCGTAGGAAACAGTGTCCTAATTAGAGGTATGGCTAAATGGCTGTTGAAGATTCTTCCGATATTCACCACTTTGCAGAGGGGATTAAAAAGAAACCGATTTGAATGACAAACGCAGTAAAAGAGCAGAAGTGTAGCAACATCGAATTGTACAGGCGCGCACAAACGAAGCCTTATCTTTAATATCACACAAAAAAGATGATTTTCGGTATTTATATTCACCAACAAGCTGTCGAAACACCACAGATTCAGGAAGCGTATTTGCTAAGTTTGACACAATTAACTGCAATTAAGTAATTATGTGGAGGAAAATAGTTCATACTGAGTGATTACATGGCAATAATGGTGGTTCACTTTTCGATAAAAAAATTCACAAAGCGCGAATTTGATGT